GGAGTCTAAAGAACCTTACTCATATGATTCCTACTAGTATGTGGTTTACTTTTCTAAATGGCAATAAGAAAGTTTTTGAGATGCGTAAACTGCCAATGGTATGTTAAATCTTTTTCCAAGATTTTCTTTTCTTTGGCAATGAATTGTGAGTGCAATTACAGGAGAACCAAGAATTATACAAATGATAACTTGGTAAAGTAGTTAATATGCTGGAAATTACCAAATTTTGTTTTGGTTTGTATATTTATATATGGACAGTAACTTCTTCCTAGTAATTATTTTTGTTTATAATGTACTTATCCTATAAAAAATTGGATATGTACCAGTTACTGAATTTCTGCAAATTTTCTTCTTGGTGTCTTACTGCAGGTAAGGTCTCTTACACTGGATGTCAAAGTGTGGGAGCCTTCCGTTATAAATTTGTTTCAGTCTTTGGGTAATGCCTTTGCCAACTCTGTCTGGGAGGAACTTTTGCAATCAAGAAGTGCCTTTCAGGTTGATCTTATATCCACAGGGTAGGGATTCTCTGTTACAACTCTTTCGAGTATTGTATATGTTTCTTCTCTACTGGACTGTTGTGAGTATTCACTTGTATTCTTCTGGTGAAGGTCATACAAGTCCGATAAAAAACAACTAGTTTTTATCAGCAAACCTGGTCAGAGTGATTCTATACCTGTAAAGGAGAAATTCATTCATGCAAAGGTATGTCCTTTCGTGGCTCTCAGTTACTAGTTGGATAACTTGAAAGTATTTCAATTTATGATCTAATTGCTAAGATTATAGTATTAAATGCTAAGTTGATAGGGAAGCAATTGTTTCAGAACATCAGCCAATCTGAAAAACACATTTTGTAATACTAAAGACAAAAAACAATTTTGTCTAGACTTTAGTTTGAGACTGAACCTTTTTTGGCTCGTTGGGATACTTGTTGTCCTCTCTTTTACTGCTTTTTAGTGATCATGGCTTAGGGATCTTGCAAGAACGGCTGTAGAGAGTGTATAAAGGCATAACATTACTGTTCCTGTATGACATGGATAAGCCTTGCTTGAATTCATCTTAGTTTTTGAAAGACTAATGATTTCTGGACTAACTTTTGTCAACTTATGATACATGAGCATTCTTGAAAATCTTGTATTATATAGTGAACTGATCTCCTGACTGTACTTGCTACTAGTTGAAAATCTACAGACTGCTTCAGAAATGTGGAAGTTAATGTGTATTCTTTTGTTAATTGCAGTACGCAGAAAAGCTTTTTGTCCGGAAATCAAAAGATGCACAATATACTCATTTGGTAGCACAACAGATTTGGGAGGGTGTTCGCGCTAATGACAAGAAAGCTGTATATCGTCACATTGTTAATTCTGAGCCAGATTTGAATGCGGTGTATGAGCAAGCTGCTTGTAACTCTTCATTAACCCTTGCCAAAGTAATGCTGATGCATGAGCAGACTAGCCATGACCAAAGCTCGAGCTGCTTAGCTGGGGATTCATTGGACAAGTCGTCTCCTAGCTCTTCAAACTTGAGTGGTACAAGTGAAGGCCAGCAGGTGGAGGATCTAGATGGGTGCACTCTGCTTCACCTGGCTTGTGAAACCGCAGACATTGGTATGCTTGAACTCCTCTTACAGTATGGAGTGAATATAAATGTGACTGATTCAAGAGGTCAAACACCACTCGACCGTTGTATTCTCAGAGGCAAAAGCACATTCGCAAAATTGCTTCTTACAAGGTGATAATTTATCTCATGGTTGGATTTGCGGTTTTTAAAACCCATTTATTACATTTGCCTAATCTGTGCATATTGAACAAACTCTCAGTTTCTTTAAAATGCTGTGTTTCTGCCTTTTTGTGTGATTTGCAACTGAAAGGGTTATATTGCATCTGCAGGGGAGCTGATCCACGGGCATTAAATGGGGAAGGAAAAACCCCCCTCGAACTAGCAGTGGAGTCGAACTTCGATGATAGTGAAGTCCTTGCTATGTTATCAGACTCCAATGGGTGAAACTGTCGTATAAGTAATGAAACTATCCGAGGCCAACTTCATGAGTGCTGGGATGATCATTATCAAAAGAAACAAAGGTATCACATTTGTATAATTATAGTCAGTAAATTTGAGAGATTGTTATCCTTTGAACGAAATATCAGCAAGTGTTTTGTGGTTTTGAGAGTTGGAGGATACCGATGGGGTGCATTGTTGAAAAATGTCAGCCGGTGTTGTAATCTAAAATGGCTCCGGTGGTCTAAGCCGAAAGCATGCGGTAGCTTTCAGCCAAGGGCTCTGTAATGTGTTCTTGTGAGGATTTAGTGTAGGCCATTGTGTATTTGTACATCATTTCTTTTAGTGAAAGCTTTTGGTGGCTGTAACTCTATGAAGCTCGAAACTTCGACCTTATGTTGTTCTACGTTTAGGGTTTCCAAAGCCGCAATAGAAAATATGAAGGTAATAGAAAAAAAAATTATGCTATATTTCTTCTTATTCGTCTTTCAATTGTGTTAAAGAGTTGATTACAAATAGCAGGTAAGAATTAAGCTAGTTGATTTGGACAGTGTAATTGGAATGTTACACTTTGCACCGAGTGTAATTGAAACCTTGCACGTGAGTTTGAAATTGTTCTCTCGTAAATCAGAATAATTTAGAATATTCTTTTCAACTGATCTTGCATAAAATTTGTACCACTCGCGTTTAACTAGACTTAGCTACTTGATTGCATCTATTCTTCATATTGTGCAGCGTAGGTTCCGCTAGTGCATAATCAGACGAGCTAAGATCCTACACCCCTAGCTTTCGAGAGCATTTTCAAGCATTTTTCACATTTGGACAAAACCACCAAGCAGCACTTGCCACCGAGAATATGGAGTTTTGAGCACATTCAATTGATTGGCTTATGAATTCTAATGCCTTTTCCGTGAGTGAAAACTGTCCGTTTTCCGTCCTTCAATCGTGTATGTCACTGTCGTGGACGGGACCAGTAAATGTAAATATAATTTGCTCAAGAGACAAGGCAATCAAATATACAGATTTTTGGATCACCAAATTTTATCCATGTCAGCGTAAAATACAAAGTTTGTGAATTGAAGTGTCAAATGTGTTGCGGTGGCACTGACATTTTCTGAAGGTCAGGGATGATGATGTTACGCTAGCTCTTGGAGAGTCAAATGTAGCAAGTAGGCCAACCCAACCCCATCACGTACCAGACAGCCTTGCATGGGGTCTCCCTCCAACAATTGTAGCAACTAAACCATAAGCCCTATGGGTTCGTTTGGCAGGTGGGAAGAGATCGCGTCCTAGGATGAGATTGGTAGGACACGTACGACATGACTTATAATTTATATGTAAGAATAAGTTAAATAGTTTACTTTATTGTAGATTCATAACTCATCATGTCCAGTTTAGTTCTGTTTATCTCACATTTTGACATAACAAGTAAATGATTAGACTCAAATAGGCCCCTTATGTTATGTTTACTCGCATATGTTACCCGTTAGCTAATTATGATTTTTTTGAATTGCAACAATTAGTAACCTAGATATGTAAAAACCGCGACAATTCAAAATACGAAAGCTATAACAAAACTCTACGCAAACCATAACGAATAAAATTATAACTTTTCTTGCAATTTTGGATATGACAGTCTGACCAAATGCAATTGTTAGACGCTCTCACAAAGAAATGAGTCAGACTTTATGAGTATCATTCCACTCTATCTACGTAGGATTGCAGTTCACACGAGCCCATAGTGGTATGAGCAACGATGAGAACTTCCGTCTACGAAAGTACAAATACACTACCGTGTGTTTTATACTAACGATACAATGAAAGACTCACGCATCGATAAATAACATCAAAGTAACGATATCCTCGTTGTTCTAAAAGTTGTTCCCATGACAAGCTGGTCGGTCTAGTGGATACTTTATCCAGTGACTGATGGTGCTAACTCATAACTCAACTGCCATGACTCATGAGTAATAATAGTGGAATACTCTGTTGGTTTATGACACAAAACATGATAAGGAAGCATAATTCCCATTAAAAAAAGGTTTATTTTTATTTTTATATTATTTGTTTATTTTTATTTCTGAAATTGGATGCGAAAAAGAAAAGCCCTTGACGCTCATGTTGGGCCTGAAAAGGAAGAGGCCCACAGGTGCACGCGTGTTGGCCTTTCACCGGTCCCGAGACAGACCCTATCATGGTCTACAACACAGACACTGGAAAGCGAAAACCGAGCCAACCATAAAACAAAGATTGTTCCCTTCAGCTTTCATTCCCACACAAATTATTAATTATTGTTTCAATAACAAACCCAAAAGGCAAAAAAGATAATCACTTTACTGATCACCGTTCGTTTAATCTGTAATCCCCGAAAGAGACTCCTATGAGATGGAGACACTCGTGTCATGAGATGTTTCAAACTAATTAATTACGAGACGTTTGGTTAAAAAGTAAAATATAGGACGACACATGATTTATTTGAGACATACTGTTATTTTAGAATTTTCGAATTTCTTATAAATATGATATATTAAAAATAATTTATATGAACCGAGTTTACAGTAATTGAATTTTCGATCTAAAAAACAGTACTATGTGAAGAGATTTTTGTATGCATCATTTTATTACGAGAAGTGATATCACATGCCCTCTTTTGACCACTCATCTATTACAGAAAACTGTATTTTGGGGACCAATGCTTGTCTAGTGTTGGAAGGTCATGGAAGTTGGTGACCTGATAATAGGTGAGGTGGCGATCGAAGCTTTGGGGAACAACCGTAACCATAATGGTCCTAAGGTAGCGAAATTCCTTATCATGTAAATCTTTATCCGCACGAAATGTTTAATTCGTCTGTTGATTTTATTTGATTATTCAATTTAATGACTAAAAAAAAAAAAAAACTGAACTGGAGGTATAGAATCACTTCCTAGCATTACACGAAGACAAACAGCGGCACACTACGGTAATAGATTGTCGCTTTAGTATTATTCTAATCGGAATAAATTCCCGCTGTTGGTTCCCTGTAGACGGCCAGAATCTCCTCCCCTCACCAACCAGCGGCGGAGACGTGTTCAGCGTTTTCCTGGCCTTGTCTCACGCAGTTCGATGTTTAGCTTTCGGGCCACTCGTGATAGCGACACAGTGCCAACGTGTCTCCGTGGACCCCACCGCTTACGGGGGTTCGAAAGGCGGGAAGCCCAGTTTTGTCCTCCGCAGCATGAGAGAGAGAAAGAAAAAAAAAGCAAACAGCCACAGAAAGTGTCTCTCTCTCTCCTCCCAAAACCCAGAGAGCGATTTTGTGCAGTTGGGTAGTTTCAGTTTGTGAAGAGAAAGGGACTCGCTTTCTGTGTGAAATTCAAGCTTTGGGACTTGTTTTTTTTTTTTTTTGTTCTTTCGGTCGCCATTTTTTGCAAACATTTCAACTCAGTAGTTTCAGTAGTGGGTTTAAACTTAAAAGAGTAAAAAAAAACAAAGAGTGTTTTGATTTGAAGAGAAAAAAAATATGCGAATCGGTGACGAAACGATTCGTTGCGTCTTTTCTCTGAAGATTTTCCCATAAAAAAATTCGAATTTTATCTGATATTCTCCCTCTCTATCTCTCTCCCCTCCTTCATGACTCCTTGAAGCTTTCTCCTTGATGGGGTTTTCTCACTTTCCCGCAGAGCTGCAAGCGTTTCTCGGCGGCGTTGCATTTTCTGCGCCTCCATGTTGCACGGTGGCTGAAGCCCTGAGAAAAATAGAACAAAAATTTGAGCTTTTGATGCCAAAGCAGCTGTTGCTTTGAGTATTTTTGGTTGGATTCTGAAGAAAGATTGCAGCTTTGATGTTGGTTTTGCTAATTTTCATCTGGGTTTTACTGGGTTTCAGTTGATTTTTGCTGGGATTTTTTTTGGATTTCTATTGGAATGGATAGAAGAAGAAGAAGAAGAAGCACCTCGGAAATGAACAATCCAATCCCAAGGCTTCTCCTTTTGCTATTGATTTTCTGCTGCCGGCAAGGGGCTGTGCAGTCCCAAGAAACCGAGCCTCCGTCACCGGCGAAGCATCCCCACTCGAAGAACGAGCTCCAAAGAATCATTCTGAGCATCGTGTTGGGAGTCCTGACCGGACTAATTTGTGCCCTCCTCACTGCACTCTTAGTCCGGTGCTTTGTCCGCTACATCAGCAGAACCCCAATTCTCAAAGGGCCCGTCATATTCTCCCCGAAGATCGACCCCAAAACGCTCCAATTAGCACTAGCTAGTGAAAACCGGTTGCTGGGTTCTAGCCCCAATGGGAAGTACTGCAGGACTGTTCTGGACACTGGGCTGATTATTGCAGTCAAGCAGCTCGGACCCTTTTCAGAGTGTGGCTCGCCGGAGGCTCAGAGCAAGGCGGCGAAGCGGCGGATACAGCAGGAGCTTGAAGTGCTTGCTGGCCTGAGACACAGGCATTTGATGAGCCTGCGGGCTTATGTTCGCGAACACGATAGGTTCTCTTTGGTTTATGATTTTATGCCTAATGGGAGCTTGGAGGATGCTATGAATAGAGTTAGAGAAACCCAGCTGCAGCTTAGTTGGGAAGTTCGGCTTCGGATTGCTGTCGGGGTAATTAAGGGGCTTCAGTATCTGCATTCGTATGTTCCTCAGATTATGCATTGCAATTTAAAGCCTACAAATGTTATGTTGGATTCGGAGTTTGAGCCGAGGTTGGGAGATTACGGGTTGGCCAAGCTTGCGCCTTATTTGAATGGAGCAACATCTGGCTACAGTGCTCCAGAGTGTTTCCAGAATGGCAGGTACACATATCAATCTTGGATGATATTCGAAATTCGTAAATGTTTCGTGTTATACAACTACTATGCAATTCTATTGACGGAGCTATGTAGGTGTATGTGTATATGCGGAAATGGTAATTGTGTTTTATGATATTTCCCCATTGCTCCTACTAATTTCCTTTGCTTTTAGAATACTTATCAGGAGTTTGGTATTCCACATCCCAAAATGTTGGCACACGTTTGTAGTTTCGGGCAGGATTGAATTAGGTTTGCCAGCTTTTATTTTGTATTAGCCATTTAGCTTCTGCCCTGTCAAATGGCTTTCTCTCCTGCACAAGGCCATGGACATCCCCCTAATACTGGGATGCGTGACTGTTGTGGTTGGCATTGCAATCTGTCTCCAGTTTTTCGCGCTTTTTGTTTCCCTGCGCTGGAGGGAAAAATGCTCCCTCCCAATACTCTTCTACTCAATGACTTGGGATTCTGATAATCATCCCTCTTTGACAAGGCATAGAACTCCGAAATTACCTCGTGATGGTTTATTGATAGTTAACAGTGAAATGCTTGTTAGTTAAGATTCAAGGCTATATTAATGGTTTATTGATGTTTGCCTTAGAATTTAAGCTGTGGGGTTTTGTATGTAACAGTTGCGTTGTTTGTACTGAATTATTAGCTTTGTAGTATTGAAAACGAAAAGAGAAACTCCCTTTAGGAAGAAAGCTTTGGCTGTGAATAGGTGAATGGAAAGAACAACTAGAACAGGAGCTTTTTTTCATTTTTTTCCTTCGAAAACATATATGCTCTTTTGCTAAAGACTACATATTCAATTTCACCAGGTACACGGATAAGAGCGACATTTTCAGCTTTGGGATGATATTGGGCGTTTTGTTAACCGGAAGAGATCCAACCGATCCCTTCTTTGGGGAAGCAGCTAGTGGTGGAAGTTTAGGGCGCTGGTTGCGGCACTTGCAGCAAGCAGGCGAGGCACGGGAAGCATTAGATAAGAGTATAATAGGGGAAGAAGGGGAGGAAGATGATGAGATGTTGATGGCAGTGCGAATCGCAGTTGTATGCCTATCCGATCTGCCCGCAGAGAGACCCTCAAGCGATGAACTTGTTCACATGCTAACCCAACTGAACAGTTTTTGATCAGATGTAAGTATTTTATGTTGAAGCTCCTATTTCTGTAGATTTTGGGGAACTTAGACTTCAGAAAGATTTGCTTCTGCAATCTGCACATTTCTCTTAGAATTGTATACTTTCACTGTTTAAATCTGTGGATATTCACTGTGGCGAAGAAGCTGGAAGTCAAGGAAGTATCGAACTTTTGGAGTAAAAGTGAGGAGATTAACAATGTGGGGGCACATATCAATTATTTTTGTTTTTCACCTCCCAATGATTGTAGGGCTTTGCTGGCTGTTTTCAAAATCACGGGAAAGATCGTTCTACCTCTTCACCCATCTGAGATTGCCAGCGACTCGTATAATTCCAATGTCGATGTCGTAGTCCCATGTATTGGAATTTGGTGGTCTACTTACCTTCTTTTTTTTTTTTTTTTTTTTTTTTTTTTTGTCAAACGATAGATTTGTTAGATTAGAGAGCTGGCATGATTCAAACACGCCGTGGTGTAATGTAACACTCCTCTCCACAACGGTGGTTGAGGGTTGCTTGTTGGCTTTTTAATGTATTTGGAATAACTAGACATAATATAACTGTAAAATTAAGGGTTTGTTTGGTATGCAATTTGAATTAATTTTTTTTTTAAACGTAAAAATAGTTTTAAGTCTTAAGTCAATAATTCTTATTTGGTCAAAATATTTTAAAAAGTGAATTCAATCAACTTGAAAAATAGCTTATTTATGAAAAACAAAAAACAGTAATTTTTAACCTCATTTCTCTCTCCATTTTCTCTCCTATATTTTCTCTCATTTTCTTTTCTCCTCTCACTCATTGATCATTTCCTTCTCTCCTCTCTTCCAATATGTTATTATTTTTCTCTCTCCTATCCCCTCTTCCTTTGTCTCTCTCTCTCTCTCTCTCTCTCTCTCTCTCTTCCAATATGTTATGATTTTTCTCTCTCTTATCTCCTCTTCCTTTGTCTCTCTCTCTTCCAATCATTTCCCTCAGCTTTCCGTGTCTCTCTCACTTCCACTCTCTCTCTCCGTTCTCCCTCCCAGTTCTCCCTCCTTTCTCTCTTTTTTTCGATTTTCTCTCTTCTCTCTTCCTTTCGATCTTCTCTCTCTTTTTTTCGATTTTCTCTCCTCTCTTCCTTTCGATCTTCTCTCTTCTCTCTTCCTTTCTTATTTCTTTAATTGCTAAGATTTATCAATAAATTTTAAATTTCATATCAAATAAATTTTTGGGTCTTATACAAAATTGTTCTTAAGAAATGGTTTTAATATATTTTTTTGAAATTGATAATTTTTTTTAGTTGGATACCAAGAAGGCTTTTAATGAACCAAATGAAATGCATTGGGAGCTTCTTGGGCCTTGGCCTGCATATGTCGATATTTTTAAGAACAATATTCTTAGGCTTTGCTTTTATTTTTAGTATTAATATAATCAACTACCCCTTACCTATAGATTGTCATCTATCTCTCACTAACCACAATCACCAACGCTGCCAGCAAATCGGAAACATGGATTCCGGAAAAGCTCCCAAACCACCCAGTAATTGTGAGCTAGAAGAGAAACATGGGGACTTGGGAAATCGTAGCAAAAAAGCAATGTCAGTCGAGTACTACTGCAACAACTACTTTCCTGTAGAGATCTTAAGAGAAATCCTCCTAAGACTACCCTCAAAATATTTAAAAGAAAACTAATGAAAATAATTTGAAAATTTTGAGTTTTAACGATAAGGACGGAATAAAGGATAAAGTGAATAGTAGCAGGATTGACATTTTAGTGTAAAAATTTGGTTTTTCGTTAAAATAAACAGTACTGAAGCTTTTCGTTAAAGTTTTCAATATTTAATCATATGCTGCGCCGTCTGCAAGTCATGGCGCTCTATGGTCAAAAGCTCTGCCTTTATTGCGATCCATCTCAGCCGTTCATCACTAATCCAGTCTAACCACAAAAACCAAAACGATGGTTTTGATCAGCTCCTTCTCATAAACTGGGGCCATGCCTTCTACTCTTTGTATTTTGGGGATAACCCTAACCCTAACCCTAAACCAGCAGTTCAGTACATTGTGCTTAATGCACCACTAGTTATGAAACTCGGAGCTCCTGCGCAAATGGTCGGAAGTTGCAATGGGCTTACATGCCTTTCTTGGTACCCTGGTGGCCACACAATAATTTTGAACCCTTCAGTTAGAAAGTATGTGGTTTTGCCTTGGCCTAGGACTGTTAACATAGAGAGAAGAAGCTAGGGTTTCAAGTATTAAGAAAGAGAGAGAGATCGAAGAAGAGAAGTTTGTAGAGAGAGAATGAAATCTGTTGTATATTATATTTTCTTACTTACTAAGCTATTACATTGAGGTATATATAGAGAATAAGATCTCTAACTAACTAACTAACTAACTAACTAACTAACTAAGACATACATCCTTATGACAAGTGTCTCAATCCTAACCATTCTCTATATTCTTACATCCCCCCGCAAACTCATGGGAAAGAACACCAAGCATGAGGTTGAACCAATGAGATCGAAATAAAGGAGCACGAGACCTTTTGTTAGTATATCGGCAAATTGTTCGCAGGAGGAAACAAACTGAACAAGCAGTGTCTTCCTAGCAAACCTGTTCTCTCACAAAGTGAACGTCAATTTCAATATGCTTCGTCCGTTGATGCTGAACAGGATTGAAGGACAAAGCAATAGCAGAAAGGTTATCACAGAAAAGCACAGGAGCATGAGCAGGTATAACATGCATGAACTGCAGTAATTGTTGGATTCAATCGAGCTCAGCAGCGGTGGATGACATAGCTCGATACTTAGCTTTTATGGAAAAACGAGAGACTGTGTGTTGTTTCTTAGGGAACCACGATATAGGATTGTTGCCTAAAAACACCACCATACCAGTTGTTGAACTGCGATCATTAGGGTCACCGGCCCAGTCTGCGTCACTAAAAGCCTTTAATGATAAGTCACCCCTATTATACGAAATGCCAACTGATAATGTACCCTTGAGATAGCGCAAGATATGCTTAACGGCGGTGAAATGAGACACCATAGGAGACTGCATGAATTGGCACACTTGATGAACTAATAATGCAATATCGGGACGAGTAAATGTTGCAACGCACCAACTATGCTCCTGTATGCAGTTGGATTGTTATAAGGAGTACCATCATCCTTAAGTAGTCGGTTGTAAGGAAGACATGATGTGTCACAAGCTTTACACTCCACAATCTCAACTTTCGCTAATAGGTCCTATATATATTTTGTTTGCAATAGGAATAAACCCTGAGCAGTCTTAGTGATTTGAATCCCCATAAAGTAATGAAGCTCGCCCAAGTCCTTGATGTCAAACTCAGTAGTAAGAGAGTGAATGACTTGCTGAATAATGATAGAAGAACTACCAGAGTTAATAATATCATCCACATATAATAAAAGGATGACAATATCACTCTCAACAGTCTTGACAAATAAAGAAAAGTCTGAATAAGTAGACTGGAATCCAAGGGAAGGAAGAAAGCTGGTGAATCTCTCATTCTAAGCTCGGGGAGCCTGTTTCAAATCGTATAAAGACTTATGCAACTTACAAACAAAGTCAGGATGAGAAGCATCTTCAAAACCAGGTGGTTGAGCCATATAAACCTCTTCATTTAACACTCCATGCAGAAAAGCATTCTTAACGTCTAACTGTTGAAGAGACCAATGAAAATGAGTTGCCAAAGCTAGAACTAAGCGCACAGTAGTTGGCTTAACCACTAGACTAAATGTCTCCCCATAATCCAAACCAGGTTCTTGATTAAACCCCTTTGCAACCAGGCGAGCCTTATGGTGATCAATAGAGCCATCTAAATTCTTCTTGAGTTTAAACACCCATTTGCAACCAACCAGATTTTTATGGGATGGTAAAGGAACTAAACTCCAAGTTTGTTGATGATGCAATGCACCAAGCTCTTCTTTCATAGCGTTCAGCCAAACAGGAACTTTTAATGCAGACTTGTAAGTGGCAGGCTCCACTTGAGTGAGATCAACACCACTAGAATCATGTACCTTGCTAAGAAACACTTTCTTCTTGATTATACCATTTTTACTTCTAGTTTGCATGGGATGCAGATTAAGTGGAGCGATAGGCAGGACCACTTGAAGTAGACCAGGACTAAAATCAAGATCCACAGGGAGTGAAGGTGAAGAGCTGGCAGGTACAGTATTGGACTGAGATGAAACAGAAGCAGGTGATGTTCCAGGAGACAAGGGAACTGATGATGAAATTGCTGGTGAAACTAATGATGAAACTGATGGGGGAACACTAGATATGGGAGACTGTGATTGTCATTGGGACTGTGAGTGAAATGATGAGAGAGGTTGGACAAGCATGTTATCCATAGTAGGGACAAGGAATGGAATAAAGGGCTGAGAAATAGGCAACTGAACAAACTTAGATTGAAGTACCTGAGTTAAATAAGGATAGGGAAATTAAAACTCATAAAAGACAACATGTCTGGATATATAAGTTCTACCCTTTAAGACATCAAAACAGATAAAACCTTTGTACTTCGAGGTATATCCAAGAAAGATACATTCAATGGTTTTAGGTTGTAACTTAATGTTGTTGTAGGGTCGCAACAATGGAAAACAAGAGCAACCAAACACTCGAAGATGACTTAAAAGAGGAGGGACTCCAAATAGACGTTCAAAGGGTGAACAATTGTGCAAGGTTGGAGTAGGCATACGGTTGATAAGGTGCACATCTGCTTGACAAGCAAAAGACCAGAACTAAGAGGGTAACTGTGCATATTGCAATAAAGTGATAATTGTTTCAATAATGTGGCGATGTTTACGCTCAGCCAGTCCATTCTGTTTTGGGGTATGTGGGCAAGATTTATGATGTGAAATACCTTTGATGTGAAGGAAAATTTGAAGCTTAGCACTGATATACTCTCCACCACCATCAGTTTGTAAAGTTTTAATACATACAAAACTGAGTTTGCACAAATGAATGAAAAGTAACAAAAGTGTCAAAGAAGTCGGATTTATTCACAAGAGGAAATAGCCAACAATATCAAGTGTACTCATCAATAAATGTCACATAGTATCGATATCCATCAATGGAGGTACAAGGAGAAGGACTCCAAAGGTCACTGTGTACAATTTCAAAAGGAACATCAGACTTATGAGCACTAGACTGAAATGGTAGCTTAGTGAGTTTGCCTGCTAAACAACCATGACACAATAAAGGAATAACATCTTGTGTACAAACAATGGAAGACTTGTGCAACATTATTTTGGCAATGGTATTAGAAGGGTGCCCTAACCTACTATGCCAAAGATGAGAGCTAACACGTTGACCAAGAAAGGTAATAGTGTGAGAAGAGCTGCGAGTGGGAAGAGAGGGATGACTGACGACTGAAGGTATATGATAGAGTCTATTACTGCACTTCCCTTTGTATAATATCCTCCCCGTGACTTTGTCCTGAATCTAGAAAAAATAAGCATAAAATATTAACCAACAATTGTAATCGAGGCAAATCCGATGTACGGATAACAAGTTGTTGGAAAGTTGAGGTACATAGAGAACTGAATTAAGTTTAATAGAATGCAAAGGTGTGCGAATAATGGAACTACCAATATGAGATATGTGCAGACCTTCACCATTCGCAGTT